GGCATAGGCTATGGATTCTTACCTAGGAGTTTATAATACATCTTCTATAATAATGGTTAAGCATAGAAAAAAACAGCTGACGAATATTATTAACTGGTCAATCAACTCACTTCATAAGCTCTATAAAGCTCAAATAATTAAGTCAATAACTAACTAGTGACTTTAAGCATCATAGCAGAAGACATCAGTAAAAGCAATTAGCTTTCATAATAATTGAATGATTTCGCAAGTATAATGATTTAAAATATATAGCAATTATCTCTCTAAATACCTAAATTCTCCCTTTTGTCGACATTTGCGAACAAAGTAACTGCTTAGTTATCATATTTAATCTTTAGCTCATCATAATAAAACAATTTTGCCAAATAGAAAAATAATATATTTGGTTAAGTGTAAACAATACTTCAAAATACTAATTCAAGCATACAAAGTAGTAATCTTAGTCATTTACAACAAAACAACGATATTCATATTTAAAATATCGTAGATTCTTTTAAAATTTTAAACTCAAGCGTTACTTTGTCTAGTATGAATTCATAGGAAGATTTTTAATCCTACGATAAAATATCAAGTTAAATTGGAAACTTGCTTAGTAATATTAGCTTACCAAACTAAGGACAAATTATTCTAAATGGCGACTTATCCAATCTTTTATCAGATAAAATAACTTAGAAAAACCTATATAAATACGCTCTAAGTATCGATGACTATAATTCTGAAAATTAAACTAGCATATTTAGTATTTCAACAAATATTTATAAGAAGAATATTTATGAAAATACCACAGAATTCTAGGCGTACACATAGTAATTCAAAAATATTAGTTAAAACTTCACTTACTCTAAGAATGAAGTAATAACACCATAGATTTATAATTCTTCTTCTACTACTTCTTCTTCTTATACAACCTTAAACCAGTCTACGATTATTTACTAGTTTAATAATACAAATTCTAGTATGTTATATAATATGACATGTCTCTAATAGAGTAATCTTTAATGGAGCAAATCAAATTGCGACATCCATAATAATACTTAAAATAATTACATCTGCTTGTGTGAATCCTAAAAACCAACAACTATTATTGAAGATATTGATGACTTGTTCTTAAAAAATTAAAATTTGAAGACAGTATTTGGAAAAGAAGGATTATAAAGCATAGCAGGCTTTGATAACTTTTATATGTATATAGTATTTTGGCTATTGATAATGTTCACACTGGCTTAAATTTTTTTATTTATAATTGGATAAATATTAGATAAACACTCAATAAAAAAAGATTACACAAAAATTCATATTGAAGAACAAAATGACTAATAGTAATAAGAGTAGATAATACAATAATAACATATTGATGAAAATAACTTAAATAATTGCAAAACTTCCTAATTAATAAATAATGATGCATTCTAGCATTTTCTTACTGTTCATTAGATTAAAAGTAATGAAAATGTCTAGCGCGAAATTTAGTAAAACAAATAGATTTAATCAGATTTTGATTTAAAAGTAGATAATAGAAAAAGAAAAAGATAAAAAACTTTTAGTTTATAAACATATCAAACCCAAAGAAACTTATAGCTATTTTAAGAACAAAATATTGAAATGAACTAAGAGAAGGCTGGATCTGATTAATAACAAGTAATTAAATAATAATTAAACTCTTAAATTGTTGAAAGAATCCAAGTTCAAAAAAACTCATAAACATAAATCAAAGAGGTTTAAACTGAAGAAGAAATTTAAAAAATCAATGTTTACTTATAACTTCCCAAATCAAAAAAGGTAGCAATTTTACATTAATTTTTTAGTATTATTTACATTTCTGATAATGTCCTTTCAAGACCATTAAGATTCACTCTGCTTTACTTAAAAACTATACACACATTAGTTATTTCAATAATATTCTAAGGTTATAATTTGCTCATTTAACAGGTAATAATAGCCATAATTAACAGCTCATTAATGAAAATTATATTTTTTGGAATTACACTTACATTCAAAATGGGTTCAATAGGTAAAATCATATCTCTAATTTTGCAAATAGTTATAAGTTTACTTTATTACTATGCTATTTTAGCAGTGTCTAGTAATAAAACTCCAAGTGAGTCAAATTAGTTTATAATCCTATTTATAGTATCCTTTTTAACAGAAATGGTATTCATAGAATTAATAAAATCATTTTTTATGATCTAGTTGATTCAAAAATACATTAAATGCAATCAACCCAAAAGTATTTTTGTTAAACTATATAATTTATTTGATTTAAAAGAAACAATACTTAATATAGATGTTTGAGCGAAATTTGTGTTTTTATGTTTTTTGTTTTTTACTTTAAAAATATTAACTTTTTAATTTACTTTTTTTAAAACTTAGTATAATTCTATTATTATATTTAATTTAAAATAATTAATGTAGAATTTTAAATATCATCAACTTGTTCCTACATTATTGTGATTAAATTCAATATTTATCTTTATTTTAAAATAAATACTTTTAGAATAATTTCTACGAAACTCCACTCATCGAAAAGGTTAAGTTTTTTGTGTTTTTCTCAAAATTTCCTAATTTAGATAATAAGAAAATTATATTTATATGTTTTTTATTTATTTTCTCATTTTTTCTATTTAATTATGTCTTTTTTATGTTTTATTAAATTAATTTGATGATTAGGTTAAATAGGCAAAATAAATTTTAAATATAAATGTTCATCTTTTAAAAAATCATTATTCAAAATATGCAAAATTAATTTAATTAAATTTCATCAAATTAAGTTTAAAATAAAATAAATTATGACCTATTAAACAAAATATATTTTCATCAAATTCAATTATTTTAAAAATTAATCAAAAGCATCAATCATTAATTTTTTTTTTAAAGTATTAAAAACTAAATTATTAATTAATAGAAATTTTTATTTTTTATTCTAGCCTTTAATATTTTGTATGATAGTCTAAACATATGGCATACAATATAAAACAAGTAGTCTATGCTAATTTATAACATACTAACTAATAAACAATATTAGTAGAATAGGGAATTACATAAAGAAACACATAATAAAAATTAATAATATTTTATGAAAATGAAAATTAAAAAAATGTATTATTAAAAGTTCTATTATAAATATTCGATCAAATCAATTTTATTACAATAATTAATATAACTTTTGAGTATCATCGATAGTTAAGTAAGTAAGAATAAAAAAAGGAGAATATTGATTCACCTAAAAGTATACTTAAATACACTATTTAACTATTTTACAAATAATTTTCAAGAATGCTTTAAATAAAATTTAAATTCCAAATAAATAAAGTATAATTATAAGATTAAAAAATAATCTATTCTTCATATTAAGATAAAATTTATTTCGTGCCTATAAGCGATATACAAAGTAATATATCAAATAATTTGATTTTATTTAGTTAAGAAAAAGAGGATAAAATGTTAAATTTAAAACTTTGGAAGATTTAAAATAAATTTTTTAATTATTAAGAGTTAGCATTACAATATTAGCAAAGAGTATGATTTGATTGATAAAATAAGAAGGAATTAATAGCTTAGTGTTTAATACTAGACCTAAATTAATAAATCTTAACTGTAAAAATTGTTTAAATTATTTCTCAACATAATAAGAAAAATTAATCAATTATTTAAAATATCGTTATGAAGAAGAAAATTTATCAGTCGATAAATATCCAATAAAGGAACAAAGATCAAATTCTAAAAACATTATAAGATCACAGAAATTCCCTTTGTTAAAATTTTTGATTTTGAATTTACATCTAACAATTAAAAGATTTTAAAGAATTCACTAAAGAATCAAAACAAAAGAATTATTCAAACATAAAATTGAATATAAAAAATGACTTACTTGATAAACATTATTCTGTGTATGTGAAACAAAGTGAAGATGATAATATAAAGGATAAATAGTTATAATGTATAGAATTATTATCTAACTTAATAGATAATATACCGTAAATTCTCCTTAATTAAGACACTCGACTTTTAAATGTTTGATTGAAAAATGGTGTCTTAATATTATTTTTAAAAAATTAATTAAAAAAGTATTTATAATTTTTTGTTTTCTCAAATTTTAATTATTATTTAAAATAATAAAATATTTTTTTATAATTAAATAATGATTTAAATTTAAATTAGAATTAAGTAAATTTTTTTTAAAAAGTTAATAATTTTTTGTTACTTTGTATTTTATTTTGTTTTTAAATTTAATTATAAAATTATTTTTTTTAACCTAATCAGAATCATAAACGAAATTGGTTATAATAGACACTCACTTATATTACTTATTATTAATTTATTGTATTTTACTTTATCTAAAAATAAAAAATAATAACAACTAAAATTTATATTTTAAAATATTTTGTTTTCTGTTTATTTAAAAATATTTAGATTGCTTATTTTTTGTAAAAAAACTACAGGAGACACAGCGAAATCAATTATTTGAATCATTGAATAATATTAATCAGAATTTAATAAATTTGAAGGAGACGCAAGATTTATTTATAAATAAATTGAGAAAAGATAATATTAATGATTATTTTTAATTAACAAAAAAGCAAAGATTTTAAAAAATATTTAGAAATCTAAATAATCTAACAAAATTTTAGTTCTATGATACCCAATCAAACTAGTAACCAATAAAAAGATAATAAATCAGCATAATAGCCTTCATAAAGCTAATCTTTGTAATCAATAGAATAAACCTAAACTTTTGAGAAAGTTAAAAAAATTACAAAGCCTAAATCCGAAAAATATAATAACAGTAATAGCTCTTAGAAAAAAAGAAAATAATAACTTCAATTATTACCACCTAATCCATAATTGCCTTAATAAGTGTTTGCATAACATTAGATACCATCTGGAATGGGATAATAATTATGTCTAACATAATTTTATTTACATTTCTACCATAATATATCAGCAGAAAAATATGCAGAAATGTAAAAAGAAGATTCAATTTAAGAGGTAGTAATTTAAAAAAATAATAAAAAGAAAATATATAATCTTGAAAAAGGACTCTTTTTAGACGTAAAAACTTTACATAAGCACTTCTAGTTCAATAAAAATCAAGATTAGACAATTCCAGTTATGGTTTCAGTCAAAACCTTAGACTAGACAAACTATATGGAAGTTGAATCAAATCATTAATAGGTAGACCAAATCTTGATTTGGTTTGCATAATTGATAACTCTGAATCTATGAGCGGCTGCTCAAAAATAGAAAATGTTAAAAATACTATACTTTAACTTCTTGAGATGCTTAATGAGAATGATAGATTGTCATTAATCACATTTAACAGTTATGCCAAACAGCTTTGTGGGCTAAAAAAAGTTAGCAATTTAAATAAAGAAACTCTTTAAGCTATAACAAATTCAATTAAAGCATATGGTGGTACAAATATTACTAGTGGCTTAGAAATTGCATTTTAAATCTTACAAAGTAGAAAAAAAAAGAATTCAGTGAGTTCAATTTTCTTACTTTCAGATGGCCAAGATGATGGGGCTGATACCAAAATAAAAAATCTCTTGAAAATAACCTACTAATAGCTACAGGAAGAGAGTTTCACTATTCACTCATTTAGTTTTGGTAGTGATCATGATTGTCCTCTTATGCAAAAAATTGCTTAAATTAAAGATGGTAGTTTCTATTTTGTTGAAAAAAATGATTAAGTTGATGAATTTTTCATCGATGCGCTTGGCGGTTTGTTCTCAGTTGTAGCCTAAGACCTCACTATTAAAATTGAAATTAACAGATAAAATTAATTATTTAAAAAATTCTTCAAAAACTCTTATGTCTCAAAGACTTATGGTCATATGTGGAAGATTATTAATCAAAACTAAGAATTAAGGATTAATATTAACTAAATTTTCTCAGGAGTTTCTAAAGATTTCATATTTGAAATGACTATTCCAAAATTTGAGATTAAAGAGTTATAAGATTTTGAAAGAAATTTAGAGACAATAAATGTTTAATTGACTGCGCGCCCTGTTGATTCAATGTTACAAACATTAAAAGAGAGTAAATTAGTTTTGACTCTGTTTACAGATAATGAATAAGTAGCATAAGATTCAGAAATTAATGATAATGTTGAATTTAACTACATCAGAGTAAAGACAGCTTAAGCTATTGAAGAAGCCATCAAATATGCTGATAAAAATCAATACAATCAAGGACAATATCTATTATCAGATATGTTAAAATAGATAGAAAAATCACATCCTAAAAACTAGGCTAAGCTCTAAGTACTTAAAGATGATTTAGTTTAATGTTAATAAAACGTGCAACCTTAAGTATACTAAATTCAAGGTAGGTATTAAGCATATTAACAATGTGTTAGTCATTATAACTAATAATCATAGGCAGTAAGGTTGAATGATATGTATTAAATACCTCTTTAAAGATAAATGGTTTAATAATAACAATAGCAAAAGTAATAATAAGTTTGGAATAAACCTTAATAATTACCTCAATAAACAATCCAGTTATTACAAAACCCACAATAGCAAATCTATTAATAATAGCAGTAGTAATAGTAGTAATAATAACAATAGCTTATATAATAGCCATAATAATAACAATATTATAATAATCATTATTGAATATAATTATATAGTAATTTGATTGCTTAATAAGTTAAAAAGAAATTATCTTCAACTTAATATGATATCGATGCAAAAAAAGTTATTTTACAAAATATATATTTAATATATTTACAAATATTAGCAAAAATGAATATCTAAAAAAAAAATTTATTTTATCTTTTATTAAATATCCTTTTATTACATTTACTTTATGTTGTTAAATATGATTTAAATTTAGAAGATTATTTACAAATAAAAATTAATTTACAATTATTCAATGTTTATTTTTAATTTCCATGTATAGCAAGATTCCATTCAAAAATTTCGTAGTTTGGATGTCACTTATTTATTTTTGAAATTATAATAAATATAAATTATTAATTAATTATAATTCTATTATAAAATATATATATAAATTAGATTTTTTAATAAATAAATAAATAAAAAATATATTTCATAATAAGTGTCAGGCAAACCATGAAATTTTTTTTTGTATGGTATAATGCTATAATTAGAAATATTATAAATATTCCTAAAATTACAGAGCTAAAACAGAAAAATCTACTGATAAACATTATTTTTATAATCCTTAAGAACATTAACTACCAGATTTTTTTCAAATATTACTAAATAAATAACTGGCTGTCTTTAATTCCTACTATATTTTTAAGTATATGTTTTAAATAAAAATATTAAGTTTAAATTGTGAATGTGATACTCTTCATAAAACCAAATATATAAATTAATATTTGATAATTAATTAATTATTATATTTATTTGTTCTTTTTATCCATTTATTATTAATTAATTAAATAAATTTCATAAACTGCTATTCAATATTTTTCAAAAAAAAAAAAATGATATAATAGATTAAATATTACTATAGCTTAGAAGAAGTAATTATTAATTTTTTTACTAATATATTTTAAATTTATATTAATTAATAAAAAAAGTTTAAAAGCTCTTCACTTTTATCTCATTAGGTTCTCCATATTAATCTTCGGTATATTTAATTAAAAAATATTATTTTTATTATTATTAATATTTTTGTATATTTAATTTTAAATTGATTTAAATAAAAAATTTATACAAAAGAAATTATCATCATTATTTATTGATTTTTATTAAAACTTAAATTTTTTAGCTATTTTAACTTAATTTTAATTTCAATTTTTAATTATTTATTTATTATTCATTTTTTATTATTTGATATTTTTTCTTCATTTTTGCTATCAAAACTTACACTTAATAAAAGCTATTTATTTGTTTTACTTTATTATATTTTTAATTATAAAAGTTAATTTAAAACATTAGAGTTCTTTTAATTTATTTGATTTGTTTTCCTTTTTCTTTTTATTATGATTTCTTATTTTTTAATTCTTTGTTCATTTTATCAATTATTAATTAATCTTATTATTTCATATTTTTTCTTCATTTTTTCATTCATATTAACTATTTAATGATATATTTTTCTTCAATATTTAAAAAGTGAGAATTAAATTGGTGCAATGGGTGCATCAGGCTTAGGTTCTGCTTTAGCAAATTGCATTAATCTCTTAAATTTGACACTTAACCTTTAGTAAAAACAGTTTATTTGTTTTGGATTGTGATATTTTTAATTATAAAAACTAATTAAAAACAACAAAGCTCATTTTTCTTTTTCTTTTTATTGTGCTTGCTTTTTAGTTCTTTCTTTCTTTGTTAATTTAGCTCATCATTTTATTTTCAAATTTTTCTTTTATTATTAATTAATTAATCTTATTATTTCATATTTTTTCTTCATTTTTTCCTTCTAATTAACTATTTAATGATATATTTTTTCTTCAATATTTAAAAAGTTACAATTAAATTGGTGCAATGGGTGCATCAGGCTTAGGTTCTGCTTTAACAAATTGTATTAATCTCTCTAATTTGACACTTAACCTTTAGTAAAAACAGTTTATTTGTTTTGGATTGTGATATTTTTAATTATAAAAACTAATTAAAAACAACAAAGCTCATTTTTCTTTTTCTTTTTATTGTGCTTGCTTTTTAGTTCTTTCTTTCTTTGTTAATTTAGCTCATCATTTTATTTTCAAATTTTTCTTTTATTATTAATTAATTAATCTTATTTATTATTTCATATTTTTTCTTCATTTTTTCCTTCTAATTAACTATTTAATGATATATTTTTTCTTCAATATTTAAAAAGTTACAATTAAATTGGTGATGAAGGTGCATCAGGCTTAGGTTCTGCTTTAGCAAATTGCATTAATCTCTCAAATTTGACACTTAATCTTCGGTAAAAACAGTTTATTTGTTTTGGATTGTGATATTTTTAATTATAAACACTAATTTAAAACAACAAAGCTCTTTTTTCTTTTTCTTTTTATTGTACTTGCTTTTTTTGTTCTTTCTTTCTTTGTTAATTTAGCTCATCATTTTATTTTCAAATTTTGCTTTTATTATTAATTAATTAATCTTATTTATTATTTCATATTTTTTCTTCATTTTTTCCTTCTAATTAACTATTTAATGATATATTTTTTCTTCAATATTTAAAAAGTTACAATTAAATTGGTGATGAAGGTGCATCAGGCTTAGGTTCTGCTTTAGCAAATTGCATTAATCTCTCAAATTTGACACTTAATCTTTGGTAAAAACTGTTTATTTGTTTTGGATTGTGATATTTTTAATTATAAAAATTAATTTAAAACAACAAAGCTCTTTTTTCTTTTTCTTTTTATTGTACTTGCTTTTTTTGTTCTTTCTTTCTTTGTTAATTTAGCTCATCATTTTATTTTAAATTTTGCTTTTATTATTAATTAATTAATCTTATTTATTATTTCATATTTTTTCTTCATTTTTTCCTTCTAATTAACTATTTAATGAGATACTTTTTCTTCAATATTTAAAAAGTAACAATTAAATTGGTGCAATGGGTGCATCAGGCTTAGGTTCTGCTTTAGCAAATTGCATTAATCTCTCAAATTTGACACTTAATCTTCGGTAAAAACAGTTTATTTGTTTTGGATTGTGATATTTTAATTTTAAAAACTAATTAAAAACAACAAA